TCATCCCTACGACTCTCTTCTTGGCTATATCTCAGCCTTCAGTTCAGTTAAATGCCTTCTCCTTTATGTCTCTCCCTAGACATTCTACCTACTATTAGTCTCTTACCTGTCTTATGTTTAACATGTGTGTGTGTTTTTCAGGATTTAATATAAATTAGATTTCTCACTCATTACTTTTCATAGTCTATGTGAATAGGTTTCCAACATGGCCATTGATCTTTTGAAGATGCATTTAATTAGCACCTCATTTGGAGGATACTAGTGTATTAGAATCAACCAATTTATTAATAAACACCAAAAAGAGTCCCAAAGTTTAGACCAGTATGTCATCACAGGCACAGATGCTAGTTTTAGTTTGCTTATTTTTGATTCATTGATTCATTGAATATTTACCTGCGTGTTGGGGAGAGAGTTGTGAACAAAACAAAGTTTCTGTTCTTATGGAGGACATATTCCAATAGAGGCCCCAAAACCATAAGTAAATATGAAAGAAATGTCTAATGTGTCATGTAAAAAGTAAACCAGGTGGGGGAGGAGAAAGTGGCTGGAACATGCATGGAACAGGAGAAGTATTTTACATAAGTCAGGAGCGGGTTCTTTGTAATAAGTGACATTTGAGCAGGGACCTAAATGAAACTGGGGACTAAGCCATGTAGACACTAGGGAAAGCAAAGGGAACAGTAGGACAAATGTCCAGAAACTGAAATGTATGTGTCAATATTGAGGGAAGCAGGAGAGTGGGAGGCTGGAGTGAGGGAAGGAGGGGCAGCATCAGGAGAGGAGCTCAGGATAAGGCTGTTGATGGAGGTCGTGATAGATTGTGACCATGACAAGCGGCATGTGCTTGTTACCCGTGGCCACCCTCAATGCTGGCTACTAAGAGCACTGCCATTGGGACAGTGGTCACCGGAGAAGCAAGCTGTCTGGAGAGGTTTAATTCAAAGCATTATTTGATAGCTTGAAGTTCCTGTCAGATACTACATGTATGTCACCTATAGAGCGTGGTTTCCCTAGATGACTCTATGAAGGCAGAGGATGAAGATAAAGTGAAGACAGCTAGGGCAAATTATTAAAAAGTAATTAGAAATAGTTCTAAAAGGAAATGAACTAATTATTTCAAAGTTACTTAAAATTCCAAACTCACAGTTGTTTAATTGCTTCCTTATAGTGCAGTGTAACCAATGTAAGCAACTGAATTAAGTTCTGTGGATAAGTGGGGAAAAAATAGAAAATTATAGTATTCCAGACATACCAAATGGAAATTAAATGCATACTATCTTTATTTTTTTATTTGAAACTTAAAAACTGTATGTATGTATACGCAGTGCTGTATTACCATTTTGTAATTATGGGATGCGAACTAAGTGCCATGTCTAAGACTACAAAGAGAATTAGCTGGTGTTCTGGAAAGGAGATGCAAGAGGAAAGAGGTGGCCAGTTCTCTAGTTGGTGTAGTCATCTATCCCAGCGGTTCTCAACCTGTGGGTCGCGACCCCTTTGGCGGTTGAAGGACCCTTTCACAGGGGTCGCCTAAGCCCATCCTGCATATCAGATATTTACATGACAATTCATAACAGTAGCAACATTACAGTTATGAAGTAGCAAAGAAAATAATTTTATGGTTGGGTCACAACATGAGGAACTGTATTTAAAGGGCCAGAAGGTTGAGAACCACTGAATCCAGACTCAAATATTGGCGACCTTTAAATCTAGTGTTGACTATGTCCAACTTAAACAGAAAATAAAGGTTTCATCCTCTTTTTCTTATGGTACTTCCTCCTAAAATCAGAAATAAGGACAGCCACTTTCTAGACGTCTTTGATATTCGCCGTTATTCTAAGAGATGATGAACTGCTTCCTTTTTCTCCTGTGCCATCCATTTCTTCCCAAATAACCTGGGATTAATGCTCCCTTTCCTTTGTCATTACATGCACTGAACCACCAAATATGTACAGAAAAGTACAAATTATACAGTACTTGAAAATATGACTGTCTCTTTGTTTCATAATTATGTACCAGACCATGCTCACCTTAATAAACCAACAGACGCTTTCATTACACCCTGCTCTTTTTTCTTCTTTTTTCAACTTAGAACCCTTCACAATGAGGGTTCTCTTTATTTGGAATGCCTGCTGCCTTTCCCACCCAAATCCCACTTTGCCTAACTCTTCTTTCTGTACTGAAATTTTTAAAAATATATTTTTATTGATTTCAGAGAGGAAGGGAGAGAGGTAGAAACATCAATGATAAGAGATAATCATTTATCAGCTGCCTCCTGCCGATCACTGGGGATCGAGCCGGCAACCCGGACATATGCCCTGACCAGGAATGGAACTGTGACCTCCTGGTTCATAGGTCGATGTTCAACCACTGAGCCACACCAGTCAGGCCTGGACTGAGATTTTAACTGAACTTCTCTCATCATCCCTTCTTTGTTAGCTATCTCTTTGTATTGTAGCACTCTGTGTACCTATATTATAGAATTCAACACATGGTGATGACTTTTGTTTTATACATACCTACCTTAGGAGATAATAATGTTCTTGAGAGCAGGGATTGTATTTTAATTTATTTTATATCCACAGTATAACAGTGCCAGGAACATGCATAGACACTGTAAACACTGGTGGAGTGATTGAACGAACACAATTCCAAAACAAACATTATGTTATTTAATTATAAGAATGAGGAAGGTATAGTAAATTCTAAGATCATGAAGCTATTTACTACTTAGAATTCCTTTTAAAGTAAATTCACTATAGTGTTATCAAAAGTAACTGAAAAGATTATTTTGAGGTTCATTGAAATGAATCTTGATTCCACTGCATATTCTGAATATATTATACTTTTTACTTTTTCATAGTAGTTATTGGGAATCTGAAGCAATTTAAAATTTGAATAATATGTCTTGATAGTTTTTTTATTAAACATTGACAGTGAACAAAAACAATCTATAATTATTTGGTTTAACATATTAAGTTCTGTATTTTTATTTTTGATCTGTTTGAATTGAATGCGAATTATAATCTTCACAATATGTTTGATAGTTATAAGGTATGTCATTTGATAATGAAGAGAATAGTCTTATCATAGAAGAGAAAAAAATTATATTTTTCTTCCTTTCTTTAAGATGTAGCAATAATTTTGTAAACACTGACTACAGCAAACATGATATGACAATAACAGATTTTTCACATCACTGTCAAGGATGAAATAAGTTTCCCTAGAAATACTCTGTTTACCTAATATCCTTTTAAAAATTGAGATGAAATTTGAAATACAGTGGGGCCTTGACTTACGAGTTTAATTCGTTCCATGACTGAGCTGTAACTCAAATTACTCGTATGTCAAATCTTAAAGTGAATGAGTGAGACAGGGGATGCTGGGCTAATGTTGTGGCGTTCACTGTGATGATTGCTGCGCCAACTAGCGGTGGGGTATCTGAAGCTGGCTCGTAACCTGAATTTTAGCTCGCAACTCAAAGCAAAAAATCGGCCGAGAGACGGCTCGTATCTCGAAAAACTCGTTAGTCGGGACACTCGTAAGTCAAGGCCCCACTGTACTGTCACTGGGATCCTTACCAACTGTACAGAAGTGCTCAGTCCTGAAAGCACTGCCCTCTGGGGATGTAGTTACATGTATTTTAAAACGCACACTATATACAAGATTACACTCTTTACAGTTTTGAAGTACTGCCAAAGAACCTGTTTTTTCTTTTAAATTATATGTTTGATATTGCTGCCTTCCCAACATTATAGTTGAATCTACCCAGAGTAATGGCTTTCTAACAGTGCTATTAATACCTAAAAATGCTTTGATTTCTAAACAAATCGATTATTTAACTGCATAAGAAATAACCCATTCTTATGATACCTCATAACTGATAGAAATAATATTAACATTTTGCTGCACATGCTTATGTTAGAGAAAAAGGTTATAAATGGATGCTTATAGCAATAATTTGACTTATAATTTTCTTATATTGGCATTTTTCTCATAGCATGATTTTTATTGATCTAGGAATTTTGTATTATCACAACTATTTTTATCTACCTATATTTGGGCAGAGGAAAATGAATACTATATCACAACTATTCCATTATAGAAAAATTAAAAGTTAAACATTTGCATGTATTTTTCTTCCAGATTGTCATTATTTGTATTTTAAGATGTTACTATCACTTCCTTTTTCCAGAGCCTGTGGTAAGGTTACATGGCTATATTTATGGTGATTTCTCTAAAACCAGTTTGGAGCCAGTGGCTATTTCTCTGCTGCTGCAGGACATTTATTTATTCAAATCCTGTTTCTTAAAAACTATCACAATAATCCATTTTGCTCAAAGGTTCTTTTAAAACACACATATGCACCATAACACTCTACTTAAGTAAAAGAAAGTAAACCATGCCACTAATGTCACCATATTTACTACTCTTCACTGAATTTACCTTAAACCCAGCAAAATTTAGACACACTAAGCTGCATTCAGGAAATATGAAAATAAAACTTTTCCCCTTTTATAAATATGAAAGACCGTAGTTTTTCAGGAACCCCAAGGTAGCCATAGGTTGGTATAATCAGACACATGATCCCTCCTATCCTTAGACTTCTTCATCAATCAGAAGTTAATAATAGATAAATGATGCCACCATAAGTGGCATCTTCCTTCTTTTCCTTCTTCACCATGCGTTCTACTTCTTTCCACTTTCACTCATAACTGTAGGAGGAGGGATCTGGCTAATGAGGGAAAAGGTGTTCCTTTAAGAGAGTAATGGGGGCTCTTACTTGATTGTCACTTAAGGCAGTGAATCTCAGGTGTGGTCCCCAGCAGCAGCCTTGTTAGAAGTACAAAGGTCCAACTCTGAGGGCGGGGCCCAGCAAACCTGGAGGCTTACAAGCCTCCAGGCGGTGATGAAGCAGACTTACAGTTCCAGGACCACCGATGGAGAGAATAGCTGTCTGACAATCCCCCACTAGAGAGTGCACAGAAAATTCTATGCTCTTCAAGACCTTCCCCAAATTTATTGGTTACATGCAAAACAAAAGGAAGTCATGTAATAAGGTAATATGCCTTTAGACATATTTCAAATTAAAACGGATCCTGAACAAATGGGCATTTATCTTACAAGTTACAATATGAGACTTGAAAACTTCAAAGCTTGAGGGGTTTTACTGGGTTGAATAGTCTCCACCACACCCATGTCCACCTGGAACCTCAGAAGATGACCTGATTCGGCAGTAGGATCTCTGCAGGCATAATGGTGAAGATGAGTTTATACTAGATCAGGGTGGGCCTGGTATCTTCATAAGAAAGTCGGGTAGGGAGCCACTCAGGGAAGAAGGCCCTGTGAAGAAGGAGGCAGAGATGGTAGTTATGCTACCACAAACCACCGAGGATTGCCAGGAACACCTGTGCTGGGGAAAAGGCATGGGCAGGTCCTCCCAGAGACTCCCCAAGGAGCACACCGGGCACCTTGATTTTGGACGTTGGGCCTCTTGAACTATGATAGGATAAATGTCTGTTTTAACTTAACCAGTTTTTAAGCTGCTGCAGCACCCCAGGGGAACTGACACAGGACATTTCATGGTGTTTACATCTCACGGGTATTGATTGTACTTACTCTTTGTCCATACATATGTTCTCTCTTTCTCTGTAAAGAGCTGCCCGCCACCCCTCCCCAACTCTGTCCTGTCACCCTCCTCCCCCACTCGTTTCACCCACTCTTTTAAAGGGTCTTTGAAAAGCCTAGCTTTAGCTGTGAAAGTCGTATTCTTAATTTTTTTTGGAGAGAGAAAAAAACCCTCCTACAAAAATATTAAATGTAAAACCCTCTCACTGTTTAGAAATAAAGCATTTGAGTATTTTTAGAAATATACAAGTGATGGTAGAGATTATACCTATTATTTCCCATCCATCTGTCTTTCAATAATATTTTAGATTGAGGTGGATTATGCTTCTTAAACTGCTTTATACTCATTTGTTTAAATACATACCAAGCCTTTTAATTGGATCATTTTATATGCAAATCACCAATTCTATTAAATATATCTGTCTCTTCTCCTGTAGCTGTTTTAGTTGTGTCATAAATTCACTGACCTGCAAAAACAGGGTTAATTAGAGTCGTGTGTGAGTGTGTGCATGGACTGTGGCTGCAGCTGTAGATCTAAGATAAAGAATAGGGATTTACCAAGCACAGCTCTTTGCATCTGAAAAACAAAACACATGTAATTATGAATGATATAGCTAGGGAGCCCGCCTTAAGGAAATGGATTTGTATTCACTATACCTCATATGAATAGCTCCATGGACTTCTTTGCTACGGTTTTGTGTTTTTTTTCCCCTCAAATGACTTAGAAAAGAATCTATATTGTAATAAACAAATATGCATTTTAGAAAGAAATACAAATTAAAAGAAACATTTAATAATAAGAAAACTTTGATAAAAATAATTTAAATGACTCATATCGTTTTTAGATTTGTTGTTTAATATTAATAATCTCATTAACCAATGTCACCCAAAAAATTTAATTTAAAAAAAACGAATAGTGTTTAAGAGCATATTTTTTCCTGTGCTTTCTTTCAGTTTTCATTTCTGCAGCTCTCATGTTTTAACCAGTTCATGGTTCTTACCAGGGCACTGCCATTAGATTCAAAGCCCACCCTAATCAGGAGATCTTATCTCAGGGTCTTTAACTAAATTACATCTGCAAAGACCCCTTTTCCCCAAATAACATGATAATCACCGGTTCTAGGTGAACCTATCTTTTGGGGGCCGCCCTTCCATCTACTAGAGCTACTCAGAGCTCCATTGTCACCTCCATTGCAGCACAGGCTTGAGGAGAGAGGGGAGGAATGTGAGTGCTCTCATAGGCCCGGACAATGTGATAGGCTCAAGTCTCTTCTGCTTCAGGCTCACTGCCTGGATGTGTCCAGCACCCCATGACTGTGAGGTTATTAATGAAATATTCTCATGGGAATGTTCAGTAGCCAGGTGGACATGCAAGTCTAGAGGTCATTAGAAAGATCTGGGTTGAACAGAAGAATGGATACGATTACCAAGGGAAGCTGTGTGAGAGTAAAGAGTAAGGCAAGAACCAAAGGCAATCCATCTTTGAGGAACTGGCCGAGGAAGAGACTGAGAAGGAATTGCTGGAAAAACAGGAGGAAAACAGAGAGAGGGGGGTGGCATAGGATGCAAGAGAGAAAAGAATCTTTAAGAAGGAAAAAAAAGGTGCCAGGTGATGTTAATCTGATTAAGAGTATAATCTGTGGATGTGGGAGCTTTAATATAAGCAATTTTTGAACTTAGGAAGCCAGTTTTTAGTGGATTAAACATGGTAGAAAGTTTGACAAACATTTTTGAAAATTTCCTAGTGGACAATAAAGCTGAACTGAATACATAGGCTTCCCTCCATATCCCAATGTACACGTTTCAGAGGAAGGGTTTTGAAAAAATTCTATGTGAGGACACATGTCCGTGACCCCTGGCCTTTGATTGCAGAGACGGACTGTGTAGTTGCGATTGTTAGGGCCACCATGCCAGATCTTTCCACTAGATCCTCTGCTCATTGCAGGACGTCTTGTCGCACGCACAGCGAGAGAGAAGTTTCTAAACTGCAACGCTGACTCTGATCTCCCATGAAAAAGAAAGCTGTTCAGGCAGCCCACTGACTGCTAAACAACACCAGTCAGGCATCCGTAACATGGACTCCAAGACCTTCCTGATGAGCAGTGCGAAATACATTAGGAATAAAAGGACCTTTCATGTCTAATCCCTGGAGATCAAAACCCACATTATCCTTGGATGCTATCAGCAGCCTTTTCCTTTACGTCTGCTGTTAAGTGAATTAGGATGTTTTACGTTAATAACTGAAATACCCTGATGGCTATAATCTCTTCTATTGGAAGGACTCTGAGCAAACTCCTCCATGGCACATGGTCAGTATAGCACAAATTTGGAATTAAGTGATGGTTGAACGTGGCATTTTCTTTTCGTAACTCGGCATTTCCCTACAACATTCGTATAGTAGTAACAATAGTAACTATTTTCTAGGTCATTTGTGTCAGGTAATTTTTTTGTCATGTCTATTAAGGCATCATTTCATACAGTGAAATTCACCCCATTACATATGCAGTTCTATGAGTGTTGGAAAAACTATTCAATCATGTAACCACCATCACAATGAAGATGTGGAATATTTCCATCAGCCCAAGTTTTCCTCATGCCTCTTTTTTGTAATCAATTACCTTTTCCCATCCCCTCTCTACCACTGATGTGCTTTCTGTCCCTATAGTTTTGCCTTTTCCAGTATATATAGTGCATATATATAATAGAATATATAATATATATAAATATATTTGATTTTTTGATAATGCTTTTGAGAGTCACTCATGTTGTTACAAGCATCAATAGCTCTTCCTTTTTTATTGCTAAGTAGAATTCCATTGTATGACTATACTGTAATTTGTTTATCCCTTTATATCTTTTTAAAATATTTTTTAATTTTTCAATTAAGTTGACATACAATATTATATCAGTTTCAGGTGTACAACATAATGATTAGACATTTATGTAACTGATGAAGTGATCGCCCTGATAAATCTAGTACCCACCTGATTTACACCACACACAGTTATTTTAACCAAGATTATTCTAGGTAGCAAAGTTACCATTTAAAACTGAAGGACAGATGTAGAGCTTCCTAAATAAGGAAAAGCTACAGGAGCTCATTACTACCAAGCCAGTATTACAAGAAATATTAAAGGTGGACTTCTTTAAGAATAAGAAAATAAAAGATAATAACATGGTCAGGGCCCCAGGGAGAAGTGGGTGGAGTCTGGGTGGAGATGAGCAAAGGGCAGGGGGGTGTGGATAGGGGACATCTCTAATAATAAAAATAATATAAATGAATAAAGGAAAAAAGGCAATAACTACGCATCTAGCAACAATTGCTTTAAATGTAAATGGACAAAATGCTCCAGTTGAAAAACATAGGGTGGCTGAATGGATAGCAAAACAAGACTTTTACACGTGCTGTCTCCAGGAGACTCACTTCAAATCGAAAGACACACACAAACTAACAATAAAGGAATAGAAAAAGATATTTCATGAAAATGGAAACAGGAAAAAAATTAAAAAGCGGGAGCAGTAATACTTATACCAGACAAAATACACTTTTAAACAAAGACTATCACAAGAAACAAAGAAGTGCCCAGCAATTCCACTTCTGGATATTTATCTGAAGAAACACAAAACACTAATTCAAAAAGACATATGCACTCATATATTCATTGCAGCATTACTTACAATAGCCAAGATAGGGATGCAACCTAAGTGTTGATCAACTCATTCAAAAAAAAAAATATATATATATATATATATAATTTATTTAAGGAGAGTAAATTTAGACATTTTGGATGTAGCTATATTAAATGGTAACAGCCATTGGCAGGTTTTGAATCATTTTCTCTGCATTATAAGAAGAGATTATAGCAAGTACGTTGGTTTTAAAAACTAAAAATTGGCAATAACAGTATGGTGATTGCCAGAGGGAAAGGGGTTAGGGGGAGGTTAGAAAAGGGTAAAGGAAGGATGAATGGTGATGGAAGGATGCTTGATTCTGGATGAATACACAATACAATATACAGATGATGTACTCTAGAATTGTACACATGAAACCTATATAATTTTATTAATAAGTGTCACCCCAATAAATTCAATAAAAATTAAATAAATAAAATGCACTCTTTCACCATTATATATTTTTTAGATTGAAAATGTAAGAATTTGGATGTGATCCTTAAGGGCATTATTTAAAATTTTATTGTATAAAGATTTCATGTCACAGTTTATAAATCAGAATTACAAAGTATATAGGTCAATAAGAAATAATTAATTTGGAACATGTACAAAATCTGATTATGCTATTTTATTATGCCATTCTATAATAACTGACAAATGTATGAAAACCTATGACCTTGGGATTTATGCCAACAGGTCAATAGATAAACAACCTTTACCTTAGAGTTGACGCATACAGTGTTGCTGGTTGCTTATTATTCTACTGCTGTTTTGATATGAAATTCAACTAAGGCATGATTCTAAAGCTTCGGCGCAGCTTAAAAAAATCCAGCAGTGTATTTTCTACTCTGTTAGCATTTGTATTCAAAAACTACATATATGTATCTAATTAGAATTTAATATGCCTTTTACCCAACAGGGAATGCTGTTCTCTGTAAAGCATTTATCCTTGCCCTACTTATAATGTCACTCTCAGGATCTTTATCCTGCAGGTGTTTTTGTATAGATACAGTTATACGTTGCTTTTTACATTTTTACAATTA